GAGATGTTTTCTCAATATACAATTGTTGTTTGATATAAAGGTCTCTCTTACACATATATGAGTGTCCCTAGATTTTTTCCCTAGTCAACCCAATCTAATACAACTTGGATCTTGCCTTTCTTGCAAGGTCTCTTCTATTATTTTTTTGATAATTTCCTCTCCACTTTCTTTGTTCTTAACTTTGGAATTTACATTAGTTGGGCTTCCTAGACTGAAGCCCCATGTCTCTTTTTTTAAACCTCTTTTTTTATCCTATCCCTTTGACAGCTTTAAATAGTTTTATTAGGATATAATACACATACCATAAAATTTAATAGTTCAGTCATAGTAGGAAAAGTTGTAGAACCATCAACAGAAACATTTTTTCTTTCTTGTATTTGTTATAATGTCACAATTTTCCCCCAACTCCCCTTGCCATCAGGAGAAAGATGGGACTTTCTACTCTTGTAAAGAACTAAGAGTTTTGGACTCTCATAGAGGCAGTTCTACCCTATTCTGAAAGGTAACTATGACTTGGCATCTATTCGATGAGAGTGAGTTCCTTCCCATGCCCCTAGGTAATTATTAATCCTGTAAGTCTCTGTAGTATACCTATCCATAGATTTATTTATCCTGCATTACATATACAGAGAAACATACAAAATAAGGAGTCCTGGTGGCATAGTAGTTATGCTTTGGGCTGCTAACCACAAGGTCAGCAGTTCAAAACCACCAGGGAGCTCCTCAGGAGAAAGTAGAGGCTGTCTACTCCTGTAAAGAGTTACAGTCTCACATACGCACAGGGGCAATTCTACCTCGTCTTATAGGCTCACTATGAGTCAGAATTGACTGACTGGCAGAGAGCACACAAAACACAAAACAAACAAATACAAAAATGACAAAACAAAACAGAAAAATCTTAATTGAAAAGAAAAACTATACACATCTCTGGAATATGGTCAGAAGGGATTCACCAGAAGATTAATCCATGTGGTGACCCTGCAATTGGATTTGGGGTTTCTACTGTCATCCACAGCTTTCTGCAAACCAGGTGTTTAGAATTTAAGCTCTGATCTTTCCTTCATCCCAACTTGGATTTTATTATTTACAATCTTTAGATCACATAGGCTAGTTTGCTTTTTTTACATAGACTTAGTTGATATCTCACTTAGATAACTGCTAGTTTTAAGACAAAGCCTTTAAAACCCCAGACGCTATTCTTTCTGATAGCTGGACACCATCTGTTTTTTTGATGACACTTTGATGTAGCACCCATATCATTAGAATGAGGGTGAGTATGGCCCTTCAAGTAGGGCCACACCATAAGAACTTATTGTTCTTAGGTTAGGGCTACCACTAAGTTTGAGCCCTAAATCCATTATATAACTATGGTTTCTATATGTCTCTGGTTCACTTTAGAGACATTATCATTTTATAGTCGAGAACATTATAAATCATCCCCATGAAATACAAGGTAATTCTATTGATAGTATCATTAACTTAGCCAAAGATAGAGAATTGAAAAAAACTGTTGAGAAAAGAAAATTATACACGTATAGGCCAGCTTTTCAGAACACAGGACAAGTATACCTGCCCTGTAGAGATGAAAAGCGTACGTAACTGGACAGTACTTACATGAACGATGGAGACTGGGGATAGGCCAAAACTTTTAATAACACTCAGAGGCAGAACTATGCCTGCCAGGACAACACATGTCATAGAAAACCAAAGAGAACACGAAAAAAGTAAATATATGGTAGTCCCAGGCCATTAGTCATTGGGGATCAACAAAACAAGAGATCTGTACCAAAGTCTAACCACAAATTCCATAACCTTAAAATAGCGGTCATTTGCTTTTTCTCACAGTCGGGCATTTCAGCCTGAAGTCTGTAAGTCCAGAGGAGTTTGGTTCCTAGATGTCAGTTCCTAAACCTACTATAGAAGAGTGTGAGGTAAAGCCCAGTTCACTTGGTGGGGTTTCCTTAACAAATTCTTCTGGTGTGGCTGATGAAGGCTGTTATGCACCCTGAAAGGACAGAGTCTAAAGTCCCAGTACTCATGGGCTAGGTCACCAAGGACTGGATCAAATCTAGGTCAAAAGTGTCCAATTAGGAATACAGTACTGGTCATATTCTCCCCTTGGGTTCTATAAAAGTATTGTTAAGCAATTTTCTCTGAAGAGAGGTTACCCAACTCGGTTTACCCAAGAGAAGTGTCTCTAAAACAGACATGTCCTCCACCCCACATCATGACTGGAATTCCAGCAAGGTTTGCTGATCACTTTTGTAGGTGTTTCTGTGGTTTGGGGGAAAATTTACAGGAGAGTGTGTAAAGATTGGGACTCTTCTACACTGCTGGTGGGATTATAAATATGCACATGTACAACCCTTGTGCAAAATGATAAGTCACTACCTAAAACAGCAAGGTACAGAAGTACCATAAAGCGTTATAGTCTCAGAAAATACAGGGGCACGTCTCCCCTGTCCTATAGGATTGCTATGTGTCGGAATTAACTTGATGGCAGTGAGTTTGATTTTGGTTTTAGAGCAATGTTGTATTTGAGAAACTGACTCCAGCTGGGGTGAGGCCTCCTCTAAGTGTTTTTTAAAGATGTACAAAAAAACGTGATACGTTTCACAGGCACCAGGCAGGCTCACTACTTCATTGCTTGGGGGACCGGATTAAATTACCTGGCCTGAGAGAAGAAGCCTTTCTTTGAAGCCTTCCTGTGAAGAGTCCACGTAGTGGACTCATATAATATCTGTCCTTTTTTAATTGACTAACTTTACTCAGCATAATGGTTTCTAGGTCCATGCATACCACGAGGTGTTTCATGGCTGCTTTTAAGGGATGAATAGTAGTCCATGTTGCATATGTACCAGAGTTTCTTTAGCCATTCTTTTACTGATTGGCATTTGGACTGTTTCTAGTTTCTTGCTATTGTAAACTACGCTGCAGTGAACATGGGAAAATATACATCTGTTTGTGTTCCATTTTTTTCCTTTGAGGTACATGTCCAGCAGGCATAATGCTGGATCATAAGGTATTTCTATATCCGGTTGTTTTAGGTAATACCATATCATTTTCCACAAAGTTTGTACATGTTTATGAGTTCCATTCTTTCCACAGTACGTAGGAGTTCCAATCTTTCCACACCCTCTCCAGCATTTATTATTCTGATGTTGTTTTTCTTCTTTTAACAGGGTTAAAAGTATTGTGGTTGTAAAGTATTTCCTCATCATTGTTTTGATTTGCATTTCCTGGATAGCTAATGATCAGGAGGTTTTTCTCTTGTTTGTTAGCTAAGTCGTTCCTTTTGAATTGTCCATTCATGTCCTTTGCCCACATTTTAATTGGATTGTTCATTTTTTTAATTAATGTTACAGAATTCTTTAGATTTTAGTTATTAGTCCCATGTTTGCAGTTTTACTGCTAAAAAGCTTTCCCCAATACTTGGGCTCCTGTTTTACTGTTTTCATGAAGTCTTTTGATGTGCATTAAGTATTTTATTTTTAATAAGCCATCAGAAATATATTTTCTCTTCCACTGTGTTTGCATCCTTGATTACATTTGGTCTGTGTATGCCCTGCAATAGGCCCCTTATGTTTGTTCCAATGATCTCATTGGTGATCCTAATAGCTCTGGGCATTCCGAGTTCATTTTTGTACCTAGGGCGAGGTAAGACTTCTGTTTCATTCTTCTGCAGATGAAGAACAGTTTTATCCAGCACCATTTGTTGAAAAGGGTGTCCCTGTCTCGTTTAATTTTTTTTTTTTTGGTCCTTTGTCGAAAATCGGTTGCCTGTATGTGGATGCTTTTATTTCTGGGCCTTCTATTCTGTTCCAGTGATCTATGTATCTGTTATCGTACCAGGCTGTTCGGACTTCTCTAGCGGTGTAATACGGTTGGAGATGGGTTGTATTAGGTCTCTTACTTTGCTCTTTTTGAGGTGCTCTTTGCTAATCCTGAGTCTCTTCCAAATTGGTAGTTTGTTCTTTTTTCATTAAAGAATGAAGTTAGGATTTTAAAAATTGGAATTGTGTTTGTAAAATGCTTAGGTAGTACTGATATTTTCACAATATTAAGTCTTCACACATATAAACCAGGATATTCTTTCAGTTGTGTAGTTTGCTTTTGGCTTCTTATAATGTTTTGTAGTTTCTTTATATGTCTTTTGTTTCTTTGGTTAGGTTTATTCCTAAGTATTTCATCTTTGTGTGGTTATTGTAAATGGTATTATTTTATTGATGTCTTTTCCAGAGTTCTCTTTGAGGATAAGGAGCCAATTGGTTTCTGCTTGTTAATCTAGTATCTTGCTACTTTACCAAATAGTCAATTGTTTCCAAGACTTTTATTGGAGTCCTTGGGGCTTTCTCTATATAAAATCATAGTATTTGTAGATATTGAGAGCTTCGCTTCTTCTTTGGTCAATTGTATTTCCTTGATTTCTTTCATGGTCTAATAGCTCTGGATAGGGCTTCCAATATGATGTTGAGTAAGAGCGGTAATAGGAGACATCCTTGTGTAATTCCCATTCTCAAGGGGAACATTTTCAGTTTTTCCCCAGAGACTGATGGCTGTTGGATTTTCATATATGGCCTTTATTATATTGGGGAATTTGCCATCTATTCATATTTTATTGACTGTTTTACCAGATACAGGTGTTGGATATTGTCAAGTGCTCTTTCTGCATCTACTGATATGATCACATAATTTTTATCTTTGATGTGGCGGATGGCATTGATGGTTTTCCTAATGTTGAACCATCCTTGCATTCCTCGTATGAATTCTACTTAGTCATGATGCTTTATTTATTTATTATATGTTGTTGAAATATATTGGCCAAAATTTGGTTCAGAATTTTTAGGTCTATGCTCATGAGGGATATTAGTCTGTAGTTTTCTGTCTTTGTGGGGAATTGCCTGGTTTTGGTATCAAGGTTACGCTCACCTCATAGATTGAGTTTGCTGTCCACTTCTATATTCCCGAATAGTCTGTGTAGAATCGGTAGCAGTTCTTACCTGACTGGTAGAATTCCCCTGTGAAGCCATCTGGTCCTGGACTTTCCTTGGCTGGAAGTTTCCTCATGGCCTTTTCTAGTTCTTCTTTTGTTATGGGTCTGTTCAGGAGTTCTACATTCATGTGCATTTATCTGGATTCCTGCTGTTATTAGACATGGTTGAGTTGGTTCTGACTCAGCCACTCTGTGTACAGGAGAAGCAAACACTGCCCAGACCCACAACATCCACACAAATGTTTGTATTTCTAGGTATTTGCCCATTTCTTCTGGATTATCAAATTTGTTGGAGCAGTCTATTATTTTTCTTTTTATTTCATTTGGATTGGTTGTGATATCACCCCTTTGATCTTCAATTCTAGATATTTGCATCTTCTCTTTCTTTTCTATTGTTAAGTTTGCAGCTCGTTGTCAATTTTGCTCATCTTTTCAAGGAACCATCTTCTTGTCTTGTTGATTTTTTTTTTTTTTACTGCTTTTTTCTATTTTCTGGTTAGTATATTTCTGGTCTAATCTTAATGACTTTTATTCTCTTGTAGGGTTTATGTTGTTGCCCTTGTTTTAGTGGTTTGTGTGTTGTGGTAGGGTTAAGTTCATTTGGGATTTCTCCTCTTTTTTCATAGGTGTGTTGACTATAAATTGCCCTCAGATAACTGCTTTTGCCGTGTCCCAAAGTTCTGGTATCTAGTGTTATAGTTCTCGTTTGTTTCAAGAACTCTCTTACTTCCATCCCTTATTTTATCTATATCCCAGTCATTTTAAGTAGTATGTTGTTCAGTCTCCATGTGCTTGTCTCTATGTTCCTGTTATTGCTATTGGTCTATCCAGCTTTATAGTATTGTGATCTGACATAATGGGTTTTACGATCTCAATGTTTATGAATTTGTTGAGGCTTGCTTTGTGCTAACATATGATCTATTCTACAGTATTACCAAGTGCACTGGAAAAGAATGTATTCTATGATGTTGGGTAGAGTGCTCTGTATAGGTCTAAGGGGTAGATTTGCTTGATTGTGTTGTTTAGCTCCTCTATTTCTTTATTGGGTTTCTTTCCTGATGACCTGTTTTTTCCTTGAGAGTGGTGTGTTGAAGTTTCCGACTGTTATTGTTGAGCTGCTTATTTCTGATTTCAACTTCATGAGCATTTTATTGATGGATTCTTAGGTTTTTCACTGGGTGTATATGTCTGTTATGGGTATATGTTTCTGGTGTATTGTTCCTATGAGCATTACATAGTGTGCATTCTCGTCTCATTATCTTGGTTTCCTTGAAGTCTATTTTATCAGAGGTTAATATTATCACTTCTGGCCTTTTATCGTTGCCATTGACTTGGTAGATTTTTCTTCATCCTTTGATTTTTAATGTATTTTTGTCTTTTTGAGGTGTATCTCTTGCAGGCAGCATAGATGGATCTTGTTTTCTAATCCAGTCTACTACTGTCTTTTGATTGGTTTATTTAATCCACTGACACTCAGTGTCACTATTGATATATGTAGATTTGTTGTTGTCATTTTGCTGTTTGTTTTTCTTTTTTTCTGTGCAGTTTTACTAGTTTATTTGTTCCTACTCTATTTCTGTGTTGTTTTGAGTTCTTCTTTCATTGTATTGGTTTTGGGGTAGTGGTGTCCCATGTGATGCTCTCAAGTTTGTTACTGGTGGTGATTCTCCACACATAGTGATCCAATTAATATTTTTTGTAATGCTAGTCTTGTTTTTTTAAATTATTTTCATTTTTTCCTTACCTGGAAATACCTTATTTTCCCATCACACGTGAGGGATAATTTTGTTGGATATAGCATTCTTGGTTGGTGATATTTCCCTTCATAATTTTATACATGTCGGTCCACTGTTTTCTTATCTGCATAGTTTCTACTAAATCATAGTTTGATAGTGAAATTGTGTGCACACGTCTGTCACATGGGGGCCAGGTGTGGAGGAGTGTGCAGGGGGAGTAAGCAGGCAAGAATGAAAAAAACAAAAACAAGAAAGTGGCAAAAAGCATTGATTGGATACTGAATATTCCTTCACCAAGGTGTCCACTCAGTCTGCTATCTACCCAGGGCTGCCTGTGGGCAACCAGGTAAAAAGTTTGGCTGGGTGGGTTGGCTTCAGTGCCTTGAAAGACCAGCTTGTGCACAGGAGGGGCATGCACAGAGCGGTTTGTGCTGTGGTCAATGGTAAAGGAGAGTCCATCAACAGGTGATGCTGATCTCCCACTTTAAGAAGCTTTGGTTTACTTCCTTTTAAGTTGATTTTCTCATTTCCAAGAAGTGCAGGCTACCCTTCCTAGTGGAATCTGTCAGGTAGCTGCTGAGACTTTCCTGTGCTTGTCATCTGGCAGCCATAATCTTTTGTTACGTCCCTTGGACATTTTATTCTACTTCCTGGCATAGTTATTTGACTCTGTCAACCACTCTACTAGGCTATGTTTCAATAGTCATATTTTAAAGACCAAGAGAGTATATATTTTTAGGGCTTTTGTCATAGCATATTTTTCTTATTTAATGAATGCACATTTAAAAAATTGAGAGACCTATTTGATTTTTTAAGTTCACATTCTGTTTTTTCCTGCCTAATTTCCGGTACACTATACTTAAATTCATTAATTCAGTGAATATTTTCAGAACACATACACTATACAACCACTATTAAAGGTATCAGGGAGTACAAACTTCCCATTCTTAGGGAAATTATCACTAACCAGAAGGTTAGTGATTCATGGACAGATGGTTTCAAGGAGAATTCTACCAAGCATTCAGGGAGGAACTAACACCAATCCTACACAAAGTCTTCCAGAACATAGAAAAAGACCGAAAACTCCCAAACTCTTTCTATGAAGCTATTATAACTCTTGATACTGAAACTGGGCAGGGATCCCACAAAAATTGAGAACTACAGACCAATATCCTTAATGGACATTGAAGTAAAAATCCTTAACAAAATAGTGGCCAATAGAATACAAAAGTATATAACACAAATAATTCACCATGACCAAGTGGGATTTATATCAGAGATGCAGGGATGGTTCAACATTCACCACATTGACTTGAAAAACTATAAGAACCACATGATAATATCAATAGATGTGGAAAAAGCATTTGACAACGTCCAATACCAATTCCTGTTTAAGACACTCAAGAAGATAGGAATAGAATGAAAATTCCTAAAGATAATACAAGCTATACGTGAAAAACCAACAACCAATGTGGTATTTCAATGGAGAAAAGACAATCCCACTGAAAAGGGGGACCAGACAAGGATGTCCCTCATCCCCACTCTTATTTAACATTGTACTGCAGGTTTTAGCTGACAGCATAAAGCAAAGACATCAAAGATATTCGCCCGGGGGAGGAAGAGGTGAAACTATCATTATTTGCAGATGATATGATGCTATATAGGGAAAATCCCAAAAGCTTCACAAGGGGAGTACTGGAAGAAACAGAGGAGTATGGCAGAGTGGCAGGATACAAGATCAACAAACAGATATCTATCGGACGGCTATAAACATCAGATAAGACCACGGAAGAGGAGATCAAAAAGGTATAACCCTTCACAATAGCTAAGCACACATTGAAATATCTAGGGATATAGCTTACTAAAAGAACAAAAGATTTATATGAGGAAACTACAGAACACTATTATAGGAAACCAAGAATGACTTCAACAAATGGAAGAATAGCCTATGCTCGTGGATTAGAAGACTCAATATAGTAAAGATGTCAGTTCTACCCAAGGCACTATATAAGTTTAATGCAATCTCAATACAATACCTTCATCTTTCTTCAAAGAAATGGATAAACTGATTACCAACTTCATATGGAGAGGGAAGAAGCCCAGAATTAGCAGAGAACTCCTCAAGAAGAGGGACATAGTAGGAGGGCTTGCTTTACCTGACTTTATCACATATTATACAGCCACAGTAGTCAAAACCGCATGGTACTGGTATAATGACAGATACTCAGACCAATGGAAAAGAACTGAAACGCCAGAAATAAAAGCATCAGCAAACAGACAACCGATTTTTGATAATGGCCCATAAAATATCAAATGGAAAGCAGATGCCCTCTTCAACAAGTGGTGCTGAAAAAAATGGATATCTACCTGCAGAAAAATGAAGCAAGACCCTTATCTCATTCCATGCACAAGAATAAACTCTAGGTGGATCACAGACCTCAAGGTAAATCCACAAACTATTAGGGCCATCAGTGAGGGAAATAGGACCAACCTGAGAACTTTGGCACAAGAAATACATAGGCTATCAGAAATAGGGAAGGACACAAACACAGAAGAGGCACAACTTGACAAGTGGGATATACTGAAGATAAAACACCTGTGTACATCGAAAGAATTCACCAAGAGAGTAATAAGAGAGCCCACAGACTGGGAAAACATCTTTAGCAATGACACATCAGACAAAGGCCTTATTACTAAAATCTACAATACTTTGCAAACTTACAATAAGAAAAAACCTAACTGCCCACTAAGGAGGTGGGCAAAGGACCCGAACAGAAGTTTCACAAGAGTAGAAATCCAAATGGACAAGAAACATATGAGAAAATGTTCCCGATCATTAGCCATAAGAGAAATGCAAATTAAAACAATGAGACACCATCTAACACCCTTAAAGATAACCCAAATCAAAAAATCAGAAAGTAACAAATGTTGGAGGGTCTGTGGTGAGATAGAAACTCTCATCCACTGCTGGTGGACCTGTAGGTATGTATAGCCACTATGGAAATCAATTTGGCAATATCTAAAACAGATGGAAATTGAGCTACCATATGACCAAGAAATCCCCCTACTGGGCATATACCCAGAAGAGACAAGAAACAGATGCAGCCAGACATCTGTGCTCCAATGTTCATCATGGCACAGTTCAGAAGTGCAAGGAGTTGGAAACAACCCAAATTTCCGTCAACAGATGAGTGGATTAAAAAAACGGTGGTACATACATACAATGGAGTACTATGTATCGCTAAAAAGCAGTGGTGAACGCATGAAGAATATTGCCACATGGGAAGAACTAGAGGAAATTATGCTAAGCAAAGTAAGCCAAGCACAAAAGAACAAGTACAACATGAGTCCACTGAGGTAAGCTTAAACCAAAAAAAAGCAAAATGGGCATA